TCCTAAAAATAGTAGAAAAGTGAAAAAATAAAAAAAAAACTATTTCTCAAAAGTGTTGGTGTTCTTGCAAATTGTCAGAAAAATCCGGTTTTTCTTGCAAAGTTGCAGAGAAGTTAGAGTTGGTGTTCTTGTAAAGTGCCAGAAAAGTAGATTGTTTTCTTGCGAATTGCCAAAGAAGTTAGGAATAAATAAAATAAAAATTAAAAAATAAGTAAAAAAAAACAAATAAAAAAACAAAAAATGTAAGCAAATTGAATAAAAAAAATAAAGGAAGCCACAAATCTCCATTTCTCTGAAGTGAGAGTTCGTGTTCTTGCAAATTCAGAAATTGCCAAAAGCCAGGTTAATGTCCGCAAAATACCAAAAAAGTCTGGGTTGTTTTCTTGTAAAGTGCCAGGAAGTAAGAGTTGTGTTCTCGCAAAGTGCCAGGATAAAATAAGTTAATAAAAAAAAATTTAAAAAAAAAAAGAAACAAAAAAAAATAAGAATAAAAAACAAAAGGTAAAACTTTTTGAAAACTTGCGAAAACTTGTGCTTATTCTCTAAAGAAACATTCTTGAAAACGTAGAAATTGCTAGAGAAATCAGTTGTGTTCTTGCAAAGTGTCAAAAGTCTGCGAAGTCAAATTGGTGTTCTTGCAAAGTATCAGAAGTCTGCAAATATTCTTGCAAAGTGCTAAAAAGTTGTTGGTTTCTTGCAAAGAGCTGGTGTTTTTGTAAAGTGTAAAAAAATTAAAAAATAAATAAATAAAAAAAAAACAAAACAAACAAAAAAACAAAATGAAAACAAAAAACAAAACAAAACGAAAAGAACAATGTAGAAGATCTAATTTATAAACAAAGATTTAATCTGATCTTGTAATACAAAATTAGATTAATTTTGATACATTTCAAAAATATATTGCGATACCCGAAATCTTTCGAAAAATTTTGCAGATTTGCAAGATCTTTCGAAAGATTTCGCTACTATAAATTTGCTGATATAAAATATTGAGTTTTTTAATAGTTTAAACTTTTATAAATATTTTAAATATTTTAACATTTTTTGAAATATTTTGAAATTAATCTCATGTAATATTTCATAATTTATTTCGAATTATTTCGAATTTTCTTACATAAGTTTATATAATTTTAATATTTCGCATTAATTTGAAATAGTTTACGCAATATTATACTTTTTTTATGTTTCGTAAATTATTTTGAAATATTTCGCCTCATTAAATTTGCTGATGTAGATAGCTATACGTGAAATCAAGAACAGAAGAAATTGATTAGTTTATTATTAATTCAATAGCTATATAACGATAAGAGAAAAGAATTAAATCAACAATTTTTTGAATTCAAGCCCCTGTTAATAACTGGATTGATCTTTAGCAGTTTTTATCCCTTTACTGATGTAACAGTAAACATAGCATGATTCAAAAATAATAATACAATCAATTACTATATTCAAATAATTGTTTAAGCCAAATAATTTGGGAGGCAAAAATCATCTGACAAGAAAATCAAATCAATTTACATACAAAACCGTGATTTTATAGATATCAGATAATAAAAAGTAAATGCAAATTTGGGAAATCAAACATATATGATTTTTACGAGCATTGTGTTTGATTGTGTTATAGATAATGGCAGATAGTTTAAAATCAATAATACAGAAATAGAAATCAGATCTTCAGAATCAGGATCTAATAGCAATCAAGATCAACAATTAAGTGACAACCACGAGAAAATAAATTACTATATCACACATTAAAAGTTAGACTAACAATCTTATGTGATACAAAAAACAGAAGCAAGTATTACTTCGAATGCGAAGATGTAACATGCGAAGTTTCAATATGCATTTAAACTTTTGCTTCACCATATGTATCCAAAAGATGCAAAATTTTGCCATATAACTATACATTACAGAAAACTCGATTTTTTTATTGACATCAAAAAATATCGGTTTATACTAATATTGCTATCAGACTATCAATAGCAATATCGAAGTAAGCCAATATTTACCAATTTTTTTTATTAATATCAGAGATATATCAGTTCCCAATATGTATCGATATTTACCTAACCATCTGCATCACGATTAATCAATAGTTTTATCGCTTGTTAAAAACTTTACCAATTTTATACTTATATTTTTTAGACATATTGAAATACTTATGAATATTTTGATAGCCATATCAGGATTTTCAATAGGCCTATTGATTATTCTGATAGGTCTATGATTTTTAATAACTAATATCAGTAACATATCGACTCTCGATATGTTTCCGATATTTATCTAATATGTATATTCCCAATATGGCTTCATTCGATCTATGTATTGTATATCATATGCTCCGATTTTTGAAATTTAAATTAAGGTTTTTTAGGGTTTGCATTTTTTTAAATTTTAAAAGCAAATAACTTTTAATCTTCAAGTTTTTAAAAAATAAATTTATTATTATCATATTTACCTTTTTATTACGATTCCAACAAGTCCAAAATTATCTAAATCTAATCACAGGATCAAGAGATAAAGCTATGATCAAATAAGGACACACCTTATATGTCGGACAATTGGTTAGACCTGGTCTAACCAATTGTCCAACATATGAGATGTGTCCTTATTTGACCATAGCTTTATCTCTTGATCCTGTGATTAGATTTAGATGATTTTAGACTTGTTAGAATCGTAATAAAGAAATGAATATAACAGAATACTTGAAACAGTACTCAATACAACCAATAGCTGCACAAGCCCCACAAATATCTAAGAAAGATTATCTAAGCACTTTTAGTGGGTAGTAATTTAAGAAATTTTGAACAAGTCTTGATTCTGTGATTAAATTTAGATGATTTTAGACTTGTTAGAATCGTAATAAAGAGATAAATATAATAATAATAATTTTATTTTTTAAAAACTTGAAAATTAAAAGTTATTTGCTTTTAAAATTTAAAAAAATGCAAACTCTAAAAAACCCTAATTTAAATTTCAAAAATCGGAGCATATGTTTTATCATTTTATTGGTTTATTTATATAGTTTATAGTCTATTTTATTTATTTTAAATATTTTTACAATAGCTTATTACCTATTTTATTAGTATATTTTCCACAAAATTCTATTTAAAACAATATTTGCTTTATTATTTAATTAGAAAATTTATTAGTTTACACATAGTGAATAAACACAGATCAGTATAGTGAAATAAATACAGTGTATAAATACAGATTGACATAATATTATATAATAAAAAAAATTAAAATTTGAAAATTATAATGTAATCCTTAACCTAAAATAAATATCTTTGATACAGCTAAAAACTAATCTCTTTTACACTTCACGCTTGTTTGATAAATATTTAATCTAAAAACTAATCTCTTTATACTTCACGCTTGTTTAATAAACGTTTGATCTAAAACTAACTTCTCTCTTATACTTCGCGCTTGTTTGATAAATGTTTAATCATTTAAAATGAACAAACTCAAAGATCTTTTTCATGACGAGCAATATATATTTGCTTCGATTTTAACACCAGTTTCTGTGATTATCCTTCTTTATTTTCTATTCACGCCCTATCACAAATACTTATCTTCTAACAAGTAATTTCACTAGCTTTATGAACCGATTTTGGTATTAAACTCTATAACTGAACTAAATTATGAAAGTTCTATTTACGATAATCAAGATGTATTTGCTTCAACCTCAATATAAGCTCCTATAATTAGTCCTATTTGCAATAATCAAGATGTATCTGCTTCAATCTCAACACAAGCTCCTGTAATTAACACTATTTGCAATGATCAAGATGTATCCGCTTCAACCTCAACACAAGCTTCTGTAATTGACCTTATTTGCGATGATTAAGATATATCTACTTCAACCTCAATACAAGCTCCTGTAATTATTTGATTTTTTCGCTCTATTCTTATCTAATACTATGCTGTGCCTAAAGTTATTACTAACCTGAAGTTGCAGCTTCAGATGCCTGAAGTTGTAACTTCAGGTTAGTAATGACTTAGGTATGTTGTCCAACAAAAATTCTAATATATATTTACTTAACGCTGTAGTTTCCTAAAGTGATAACTGACAGCAATTCATTTAATAATGAATCAAATGGACCAGATGATCCATCTGATTCAGTGGAATTGATTTCGGGACTTACCTTTCCCAACTGGAAAGAATTCAAGATTTGGTTGAATGGATTTGCATTAAAGAATGGATTTAGTTATAAAGTTAAAACAAGTGAAATAACTAATGGTGTAATGAAAAGAGCTACTTATGAATGTACTAAATCTGGTTTACACGCTCCGCAAGTTACATCAGACCCAACAAAAAGGCATAACATATACTCTCAACGGATACAATGCCAGTAGAAGCTCAACGTCACCTACCCAAAACAAGTAGTATTGTAAAATTAATTCCATTGTCAATGAATATAATTACCCCTTACTCCAATGATACGTAAAATAACACTACGGTTTCGAAAGTTGATGAATAAAATGCTAAGTGATATAGAAAAGTATGTTATCCAGGGGAGAATGGATTCAAGTTCTATTTATTCATTGTTAAAATATGATTATCCGGACCAACCAATTTATAAGTAAAATTTATATAATACGGTTTACCAGTTTCATCAAAAAAATAGTCCAGAGGAGGCAGATGCTTCTCAAATATTATAGTTACTACTAGATTGGAAGGACTTAGAGCTATTATGGGTTGTAAAGCCTCGTTTAGATTTAGTTTCAAGGCAATTGAACTCTCTTTTTTGGATGTCTCCTATTCAAAGAGAGTTATATAGTAAATATAATAATGTGGTAGTAGTGGATACTACTTATAATACCAACTGGTTTAGAATGTTGCTTTGTATTATAGCTGTCATTGATAATAACTATAGAACTAGAATCGTTGCAAGTGCTATAATAGAAGATGAAACACTAGATACTTACCAATAGATCTTTAATAATTTACTTACTGAAACGGGTGTTTCATCTAGTGTCGTATTTACTGATTCAGACCCTTCAATAATCTGATCAATCATGGATACTTTCTCTAATGTTCAACATCTTTCATGTATTTTTCATATAAATATGAACCTTCGAAAAAAACTTAAAGGTAAATTAGGTAATTAGTTTGAGGGATTTCATCATAAATTCTTTATATTTCGAAATTTTCTTTGTAAAAATCTATTTGAACATCGATGGAATCAGTTAGTTGATCAGTATCCTGTAGTACTAAAATACTTGTCAGAAACACTTTATGTTACTAAAGAATCATAGGCAGTACCTTGGGTTCGTGAACATTTTACAGCTGGTATTCAAAGTTCACAAAGAGCAGAATCAATCAATAAAAATATTCATGACAAAGTTGATCATTCTACATCACTATGCAACTTAGTACTTAGCATAAAGGATTATATAAAAAATAATGAGCATCTAGAAAATTTTGATAATAAACAAAACGCTTTACTTGTAATTGGCATGCCAATATTAAATTCAAGACTTTTCAGCCAAATAGATTCTATTATTAAGAATTTTTTAACACCAGTGATGCTCGGCAAACAAAGGTTTCAAATGAATCAATCTGTTTGTTATAATATTAATCGAATTATACAGTGGCAACAATTGATAGATGTAAGTAATCATCTATGATTTTATAATTATAACTAGAGATGTGCCATTTATATGATACTTGAATTTTTTTCATGTATAGTATAGTATGTACAATATATAACATACAGTACATATAGTACTGTACGTAGCACATCTATAATTATAACCCTGATTATGAATGTTAATTCATTACGGTTTTGTTACGATTTTTTTATAGATGGATATTGATAATGAAGAAATTAGTATCAGTGCTAGAGAACAAGAGCAAGACATAAGGCAAATTCTCTTTAGTTCATTGGCTAAAACTATACCCCAAGATGCAATTTTAGAAGTTTAGAATATACGCGCTACTGGGACCCAAGGAATAGGCTATTATGTAATACTGCTTAATGAAAGTACACATTTATGCACATGCCTTTTGAAAGTTAATAAGGGGTTGTTATATCAGCACTTTTTCCATATTGGAACTTACTCTCAGCATGCTACTTTCTATATAAGTATAATTCTAAGTAGATTGTATTTGAATTTTGATATTGAACAAGATGATCTTTTATAACAATATCCTTCTATTCTAATATGTAGTACAAGGCCAGATAATAATATGGTATTCAAGGAAAGCGTTAGTTTCTGACATTTTTTTTTAATTCAGAACAATTCATCTGGTTTTCAAGCTTTAGTAAGATCA